TAGATTTTATAGCTAGTCCATCTTCGATCATTTATAGATCAACCCAAAGATGTTCAGTAAACAGGGAAACATTTGATAAGCTGAAAACACAGTGTTTGGCCTCATAAGTGTCTTAAAAGACTAACTAATCGATTAATTGACTAATCATTTCGGGACTTGAGTTAAATCTGCCCCTCGTAAGCTGTCGATATCAATAAAAGCAGCTTCTTTTTATAATGTGTAATCCCCTCTGTGGCCTCCGCAGGCTGCGAGCACAGAGCTCAAACCAGATTCCTTCAGGTGGAAAAGTTTAAATTCCAAAAGCGCACAAAAGTCAACAGCTCGGCCGCTCATTATTGAAGAACTGAAGCTGAATAACTGGGTTTGATGGCAGCTGGAGATTGCAGCTCCCCACAGCTGAAACAGCATTGACCATGCACTCTCACGTGCCGCGCTGTAACTGGAGGTTTGCACGTACAGTAAGGACGAGCAGAGAGGATCATGGGGTATTCCTGCACGCGCAATGAATTATTGCTGACATGGATCAGCTTCTTTGGTTTTTGTATGAGCCAGAAATCTGGAAAAATGTTTGTTTTTCAGACATAATGTGAAAAAAATGAATAATTCAGCAGTTTTCATTATTTATTAATGAGGCCTGTTGATAATTGATGGCCTGTTGATGATAGATTGGTTGTCATTGTCAATGGTTGTCATGAATGAAAAGGGGGAAATTTGTCCCATCCTCCAACCAGACAAGACTTTAAAATGAATCTTTAGCTTGTGTCAGCTGGTGGGAAGGCACTATAGTCATATCACTATAGCTTAAAGACAAAGGAAGCCCCCTTCTGGTGCAAGAACTCTGACGAAATCCTGCAGAAGAAGACAAATAAAGTCCCTTTTGCAAGCGCCATCTTTCTTCCTCTTTTGAACAGGTTTCCTGACATCACACCTCCAAGACACTGAGCTAAAAACATTCTGTCTCTTCGTGCTGCTAATGTTAGAGCTCTAACCCTGCGGTAGGTTCCTCCTCCACGGGAACAAACATCATTAATATTCCTGAGTGGCCCCCTCAGAGCGGCGGCGGCAGACAGGAAGAACAGCGAGCTGTTTGGGGGCTGTTCAGTCGCAGCAGCATTAAGACGCTGTGAGAAAGAGAAGCCTTTTATTGTTCGTTATGTAAGATTGTATTTATTTCCTGGAAGTCCTCAAACGTGCCACTGCAGGTCTGAAGAGAGGAACCCGCAGGATGGTCCTGAGTGTTCCTGACTGATGGTGCTGTCAGGGACAGTCCCGAGCCGTTGTAAAAGGCCTGTCGTTAATCCAGAGCTCTCCCGACCTCGCCTCCGGCCACACAGCATTCAGTCGAATCTCATTATCTCTGTGTCTGCGGTGAACAGAACACACAGGATTACCAACACTGCTGCTCGGACACAGACTGATGTCAGGTGGTCAGCGTGAAGACGATTAAACCGCTAGAGCCCTTCATCCTTGATCGTAGTTGAGTCAAACAATATAGAATATGAGTAAATTAATGTATATATACACCCCACAAGAGCTGCAGGTTTGGAGATGTTCTGACCCAGTCGTCTAACCATCACAATGTGGCCCTTGTTAAAGTCGCTCAGATCCTCACGCTGCCCATTTCTACTGCTTCTAACATCAACTTTGAGGATAAAATGTTCACTTGCTGGCTAATATACCCCCCCCCCATTGAC